CCATTCTTCCACAAGATAGAAAAGGCAATTCCCAGTTTCATTCGAAATGGAAAGAGACCTTGAATAAGCAATGCACTCCTTAAAAAGAGAAACAAGGTAGGAGGCATCTCACTCTCTGATATCAAATCCTATACACTACCATGGTGGTCAAGACAACATGGTACTGGTACAGTGACAGACACATAGATCAATTGAATAGAATTGAGAACACAGAAATTAGCCCATCTACCTACGGTCAGCTGATTTTTGACAAGGAGATGAAATCACTTAAGTAGGGAAATGACAGTCTTTTTAACACATGGTGTTGGCAAAATTGGAAAACTATCTGCAGAAAACTCAAGCAAGACCCATTCCTCACACCACACACAAAATCCAACTCAAAGTGGATCAAGGACCTAGGACTAAAACCAAGGACTATAAACTTCATTAGAGAAAAGCTTGGAAGAACTCTAGAAGCCCTAAGCCATAACATGAACAGTCTTCCAAGCATCCTGAAAAATCTACCACCAGGAGAGGATAAAATAGATGAATGGGACCTTCTAAGAATCAAGTCCCTATGCACATCCAAAAACTTCTCCAACAGGGTAAAAAGGGAAGCTACAGACTGGGAAAAAATATTTGGTAATGACATGTCTGATGAGGGACTTATATCTAGAATTTATAGAATACTCAAATGCCACAAAAAGATAATTCAATTGATAAATGGGCACAGAAGGTAGTTCTGGTCCACTAATTTTTATAAACTCAGTACTAAAATTAGCAAGCATTAAAGTATGTACATTTATTGAGGACTCAAATACATTTTTATTGTATTAAACAATATGAAAGTACTGCAGTTTTATACATAGTAAATGCTTAGATGGTATTCTATTATTTTATCCAAGGCAGGGTATTTTCAATTAATTGTTTCCTATACACCGGAAAGTTACACACTGGATAAGGATGACAGAAGAACCTTTGAATTGTGGTATTGGCAAAGCGTATTAGATCTGATAACATACAATGTTGCTGAAAAGACCAATAGTACCTGGATGGAAGAACCTTCAATATAGCTCCAATGCAAGTTTCAGAGTCTCTTCAGCTATCCATTTTGGTTTTTTCTTCCTTTTCTTTGTAAAGGCCTTTTCTTCTTCACAGATGTCATCCTTGATGCCATTCTACAACTTGTCTGGTCTTCAGTCATTAGTATTTAATGTGTCAAATCTGTTCTTAACATGGTTTTTAAATTCAGTTGGGATACAGTCAAAGGCTTATTCTGGTTCTAATGGATATATCATTTCCTCAGCTTCAACTTGCAGAAGAGTAGTTGATGATCTGTTTCACAGCCAGCCCCAACCTGATTTTGGCTGCTGATAACTGAGCTTTTTCATTATCTCTTTACACAGATTTACTCAATCTTGTATAGTTCATAAGATGACGTTCAAGTGCATAGTCACCATTATGCTTTTTTAAAAAAAAAAAGTATTTGTAATGAATAAATAATTCACTGTACCAGTCTATCATTCTATTATTATTCATGGTACAATTCTATCAATTGATCCAAGCCACAGTATTTTCAATTGCTTCCTAAATGTCTGAAAAATGGACAGTTAATGACAGAAGCAGTGATGTCTTTGAATTGTGATGCCGGCAAAGAGTACTGAACATACCACAGACTGGCAAACGGACAAACATACATGTCGTGAGGAAGAACCACCAAAATTCTCCTTAGAGTCAAGGATAGTGAAACTGTGTTTCACTTGCTTGGAGCATATTTTCAAAAGAAATCAATCCTAAGAGAGATACTTCATTCTGGGAAAGGTAAAGGGTCAGCAAAAGAGGGAATGACCTCTCTGAGATGGACTGATAGGGACAACTACAGAGGGCTTGAGCCTGACAGATCATGAGGATGGCAGAAGACAGGGCAAAACTCAGATCCATGGTTTACAGGGTTGCTGAGTCTTGACTTCCCGGCACCTAAAAATAACTTTTAATGTTGTTAAATGTCACCAAGTTGCTTCTGACTCACAACCACCCTATTTAACAGAACGAATTGGCCATGGGGTTTTCTGGGAGTAACCTTTATGAGAGCAGATCACCAAGTCTTTCTCATGGAAAGCCACCGAATGTGTTCAGACTGCTCATCTGTCGGGTGGCAGCCAAGTGTTTAACTGTTTGTACTCCCGGGCTCCTTTTATAGTGTAACAGATATTTCCAAAGGTTCTAAAATACATATTCAGGGCAAAGGTTTGGTGAGAAAGTTAAAGAAAATGTCTCAAGCTATACATGTATACCATTTATTTATTGTTTTTACTTAAAAAAGATAACAAATTAAAATATCAACAACCATTAAAAACAAGTAAATTCACACAGTTAACTATAAATTCAGTTGAGCAAAATTTCTTTTTAGATTAAGTTTACCTTGTGAAGGATTTTGGAGTTTCTCTTTGCTGCGAAACTATTCCATTCACAGAGCAATCCATTTTCAATCAATCCTGACCACTTAGCCAAGAAATGACACTTTCTTGAGTAAAACTTATGTAAACATTGAAGCCTTTAATGTACATTTTTTAATTATCAATGTCTATAGCTATGAATAGGAAACACAGTAAGTGTGCACAGGAAAGAGGAGGCTGGGCGGAGTCCCATGGGGAGCTAAACATATCAGCACTGGGGCCTCCCTGGGCCCCGACTGTCACAGGGATCTCAGCGCTGTCCTGTTTTCAAAAGGAGAGAGTGCATGAACGCTTGTACAGATCTGTCTACCACAAGCACCAGTTTCAAATCAAGCCTCATGGAATATGCACTGCCTAAAATCTGTGCGAAGACAAAAGAAATAAGCAAATGTACATGAAACAAGTCTCCCGAAACAATGGGCAAAAAGGGCTTTCACAACTGCAGAATGAAGGTTAAATATGCACCTGGAGCACAGGTGACCTCTGGCTGCTGTGCTGTGTGTGCCATCTCTGATGTGTACAAATCAAAAAGCTTTATCTGCATAAAAAGGTCACAAGCAGTCTGCTGATGGACAATAAACCAGGCTGGTTGAATTTTCAGAATTTGAATTTTCATCAGACCCAAAAAATCCACACAACCTGACTAACACAACAGTGCTTAGGAATCATACTTCAGTAGGTATACAATCTTTAATCGTAACTAAGGCAGCATTTGAAAAGGGTCTGATACTTTAAGGTCAAGTTACCATTCAGGAAAATGCTATTTTAAGAAGGAGGTCATGAACTCCAGGGATGAGGATGGGGTCAACTCAACAGAAAGGCTGAGCCCCCTGATCGTTATCAGGATGCATTTGCAAAGCTACAAAACTTGAGAGGAAAAATATATGTTCTCCTAAAAAACACACAAAAAAATTAACATTTTTTTTTTAAAAAATCAATCTCTTGCATGAAAAGTTCCTGTAATCTTCATTTCCTTTGATCTTTACTTTCTGATCTGCCCAGGCGTACATTTTGTACAATGTTCTAAGTTTGAGAAGGAATCCCTGACTTCTCTAAGAGCACCTGTAAAGAGCTGACTTATCAAGTAAATCCTCACACTCCCTTCGTAATAGACAGCTAAACACAGTCTAGAAAGCACTGTCCACTGAAAATGTTGCAGCCTCGTTGCTGCAGCCTCATAGGCTAGGAGTGTAGACTGCCGCACACTGCCTCTCTCACAGCACGGGCCCTTCCCAGCAATGACACCAGCTTACTGGGCAGACAAAGTGCTTGTGAAGTCAGCCCGAAGACAAAGACACCTCCGGTGAGTAAATAGGTTGGAAGAAAGTTAATCAACCATTAATTTCTGTGAGACTGAGCACTTAAAGGCATAAGCAGGTAAGGACAATACCAACTTTTACAAAACTTTTGAAGCTTTATACAATCATTATTTTACAAATAAGAGTATTTAAAAAAGAAAATATCATTTGTTGAGATAGAAATTCTTTTGTTTTAGCATTAGGCACACAGATATCAATTTAAACTTGCAGAAGGATAAGTCTGTTGCAAGCTTCTCTTTTTAAGATAAGACTTTCAGAATCTCAGTGGAAGGCAGAAAATCAAAAGGCAAGAATCTCTAAGGACACGGCTCAAATTCAACCTTAAAATCTAGGTATCTCCACCTATACAAATGGGCAATATATTTAAGTACTGGTAAATACTAAAGTGACTCGTGCAGTGTTGGAAGAGTAAATGGAGTGCTGTCTTCATTTTCAGGGGAAGCACCAAACTGTGCAAAGCCTGTATGAATGAACGGAATTTATGGAAACCACCGTGAAAACTACATGGCCCATGGCTGGGGTGTCTTCAAGGACTCTCACAGGGTAAAATGTTTTACATAAGAATCTTAAAATAAATCCTTCAAACTTACTTTTTTCTGGTCAGAAGTGATTCATATCTGACCTTTCAGTAGATTTTCAGAGGCTGTAAACTGCACAAGAGGAGATTGCCCATATATCTCCTAAAGAGTAGCTGGTAGGCTTGAAATACTTATCTTTGGGTTGACAATGCAACTTCTTACCACTGGTCCACCAGAGCTCCTTAATACAACAATAGAGGATAAAAAAAAAAAAAAAAAGCTAAGGTTTTGGGCTCATTCTAGCAATAGTTCTAATTGTGAGTTATTTGAGTGACATGTGAAATAAAGGTCAGCTGTGCACGTTACTAGTCTTGTTAGGGGCTGTCGAGTTGACTACAGCTCACAATGCCATGAACAGATGGACACTTTGTTCTATCCTGTACATATACCTTATCAACGGCCATCCAATCGCTCTAGAAGACAGCTAAGCTAGAAAGAGTGTTTTTTAACTGATAGTTTTAATACATTAGGAACAAAGAAAAGGAAAAGATCCTAGATGAAATATCTGCTTTGGAAAAATGGTGTATATTGAAAAACAAGGAAGGAACACCTGAACATTCAATGATAACTTTACAGTTGTTTAAGAGCCAAGAGTTTAAAATGACATGCAGAATCCTAAGTTCCCAGCATGCCCTGGTAAAGATATGAGGGTTTCTTCAGTCACTCAACTAACTGTTGGCTTTGGCTGGACCCTGGCTCGAACACCCTGCATCTTCAACAGATGAGTCTCTGTTTTCGCAGGTGACACAGCCCTTTAGGAAAGAACAAGAGAAGGCAGGTTATCAGATATTAAAGTCAAATGAAGAGACTAAAGCCAGTAAAGTATTGGACAAGCAACACACTTCCACCTCTATGACTCATTCACAGCTAAGAATGCCCATTACAGTTCCCTAACTTGGAAAGTAAATGACAGCAACTGTTTAAATACTTTCTATTTTTGGAATCCCATTTTCCATATACCCCTGTACTCAAAAGCCAGAAAAGTGACATATTGAAAACAAAGATACTTACAGTGACCAAATAACTCTGCTTTTTTGACAAGATCACATCTCACCATTTCCAGACTGTAGGAACTCCTTTAAAACTGGAGCCGGGGTACATCTCAATAATTTGTTTACTTTATAAGACTTGGAATAACTTTTATTAATGCCTATATTTATTCTCTGATTTTGATTTTTAATCATCCTCTAATTTGATACATGTTGGGGGAGGGGAAGACCATCTCACTGCAACTCATAGTGACTCTATGTACATTAGCTCTGAACCCAGCCCTATCCTGAGTCAATCCCATCAGTGCAGCTATGGCTGCTATCATTACAGTTCTGTCACTATCTGTATCACTACAGTTTTGTCACTATCTGTCCCACTGGCCTTCAGTCCTTGTTCAAGCCCATTCACAGGTGACCTCACTGAGAAGATCTCCTAATGGTGAAGGACCACTGGGCCTCACAGAAGTTCCTGCTCGTTTTGGGGTAAACACTACTCTGGTATAAATCATACATCTTGTATTTTACATCTTTTCCCTAAAATAAGAAAAAGTGTAAAAAAAAAAAAAAAAGAACTGCATTCTAAACCCAGTGAATGATAGGATCTTATTGTTGTTGTTAAGTGCCGCCGAGTCGTAAGTGACTCATAGTGACCCTATGAACGAAAGACCTGGACACCTGTATAATTTTTATCCTTTCTCCAGGTTCACAGGGTTTCCAGAGGCAAGCTATTTCGGAAGTGGATGCCACTCCTTCTTCCAAGCTTGTTTTAATCAGGGAGCTCCACCAAACACTGTCCACCCTGGGTAACATTCTTGCATTTGACATATCAGTGTCACAGTGTTCAGCTTCACAGCAACCACGAGCTGTACAGCAAGTGGACAGACCAGGGTTATAAAACCTAGAAGAATGTTTGACCAGCCTCTTGAATCTTGAAGAGGGACATGCACGTATGAAACGCTCGTGGATCCTATGGCTTTCTTTTCATCCCAAGTGGGTGTCAGCAGAGGGGACTTGCCTTATGAATTGGGGGGTCTCTGGTGCAGAGTCTGCCAGCATTTGGGCTTTGTAAAATACTGAAATGTTTGGTCATACCTCTAGGCTGAGGCTAAGGCTGAGGGCCAGTGTGGCGTTGTCATGTTGTTTAAGGATCTTACACAAACTTTAAAATCTGGACAATTTACTTTGTTGTCTATCTATAAATGAGGGGTATAGTCTGTAGGGAGCTGCACGCTAACTCATGGACCCAGCCTCTCTGGTAGTTCAAATCCTCCAGCTATCTCCTTTCATGCAGTTTACAACCTTGGACAACCAGTGCAAGGCCAGCGCTGAGACAGTTATGAATCCAGAATGTTGTGTGAGCAAGTGCTCATCAAGAAAACTGCAAGAATGAACATTTTCAGAGTGGCTGTGCAGTCTTACTGAGTGCGCAGAATGATGCCTGGCTTGAAGGGTATCACGGGTGGAGCTCACATGGTGGTGCTCACCTGGACATCTATTTCTTGAGGGATTGTCTGGCTTTGAATCCAAGAATGCACCTTGGCCAGCTCTTCTCTCTGTCCTTGGGAAAACTGGGGCTGTCCCTGCCTCATATTCTCCAGCTTTTCTAGGTCTTCTTTTAGTACAACTTCTTTAACCCTGAAAACCAAAGACAAACCTTCTAAAATATCCTCAATAAGCTATGGGATTATATACTATCATCTATGAATAGGATCAATACTTTTTATTTCTAATAATAATAATAATAATAATAATATACTTGATATCTTGTTAATATGATGTACTCATTTAAAAATAACTGACTTGTTTCTTTTGTCATATTGATTTAAGTTGATCTTGTTTTTCTTGGTAACTACTTGAAGAGGATTTTATTAAGGGATGGTGGTCTACTAGGTTTTCTTTGCACAGCCAACCCAGGCTCATAGTTCAATCCAGTAGCTGCTCCAAGGGAGAAAGATGGGCAATTTTCTCTCATGCATTTACTGCCTCTGGAAAGTTGCTGTCTGGTCAACTATGAATTGGTTCCAACTTGACAGCAGTAAGACTTTGGGATTTTTTGAGATAGAGAAGAAACAAGTCTCCCTTAGCTCAAAAACTGATTGCTGGGAAAAAACAACAACCAAAAAACTCCAACTCATTGCTGTCTAGCTGGAACCAACCCAACTCATAACCAATCCTCCAGCAGGTTTTCAGAGGCTATAAACTGCACAGGAAGAAACTGTCTTTCTTACTTAAAACAACTGGTGGATTCAAATTGCTTGTCTTTGAATTGTCAGCACAACACCTTACTCTCTAGGCCACCAGAGCTCCCTCTTGGTGTATTTTTTTAGGCCAAGAAAAACAAACCTAGCATCTATAAAGAAGTATTCTTGAGTTTATGTGTCACATTACACATTTCTTTTGTGTCGATCTTAACATACATAGTATTATCACTCTTATTTTAAAAGTGTAAGTATTCTTCACTTAACTCTAAATGAAAGAATTTTAAAAGTAACTTTCTAAATGTATATATTAAAACATTTGAAAATCACTTTGCATTATAAATCACCTCAGAAATCAGAACCCCTCAAGAACACCACATAAATAAGTCTTCTGAAGTACTTCTTTACCTGTCGGGTACCTGATACGTCATGAGAATGCACTCAGGTGTCTGTTCTATCATACTCCAGATGGACTCTTGGGCAGACTTGAGAGATGTTTCTTTTTCCTGTGCATCTTGAGATGTCTGCCCATTTTGAGAGGTTTCAGAAGAGTAATCACTACTAGCCAAATACATACAGCTGTCACTGCTTCCTATGAAGAATCAACACCAACCAATTAGACAACACCTGTCAGAAAATGTTTTGCAAACCAAACCAAATTCTCTCCACCTTATTTTTACACACATAACATGGGGGTCACTCAGTGTGGGATGTTGTTATTTTCTTTTCAAACCATACTTGCTAGTTCCTATTCAGCAATATGTATGGATACATTTATGCAAAATATAGTAGTTTACATTTACAGTACATTCTGCTTAACAAAAGCAGAACACTCTTTTCAACTGTACACAAGAAACCGGCCAAGACAGACTACAATCTGGACCATTAAACTAGCCTCAATAAATTAAAGATGTATTAATATTCTCATGCTGCAGTGAAAATAACTAGAAATCAATAAAGTAAAAATACGCAGAAAAATTTCCAAATATCAGGAAATTATACAACACATTTCAATATAACTTATGGGCTAAAGAAGAAAATAAAAGGTAATTTAGAAAATATTTGGAGCTGAAATAAAAACCTGAACATATCAAAATTTGAGGGATGCAGGTAAAGCAGTGCTTAGAGAGATATTAATAGCATTAAATATTTATATTCAAGAAGAAAGGTCTCAAAGCACAGTCCTAGGCATCCATCATAAGAGATGTGGGGGTGGGGAGGAAGGCAAACATGCCAAAGTAATCAGAAGAAAGGTGAAAATAAAGATTACAGCATAAGTGAACAAAAGACAAGGCAAAAATAAAATAAAACCCAATACTGGTTATTTGACAAGTTAATATAAGAATTATTTAAAGTATCAAAGATCACACACACACACACACACACACACACACACACACACACACACACACACAAATATGGAAAACCTGATAGACCTACACCTGTTGTTGTTGTTATACGCTGTCAAGTCATTTGAGACTCATAGCAACCCAATGTGCAACAGACCTAAACCCTGCTCTATCCTGTGCCAGTCGCATTTCCTCCGACACACCCATCCTGATTACCCTGGTCACTGAGTCAATCCACCT